CACACACACACACACACAACACACGACACTTTCACACTAAGCAATGTGGATGAAGTGTCTTGCCTGTGGACACAACAACCATTTTTTCTCTGGTGCCTCTTGTGGCTCCTGATGTTCCCAGACCCAGACTCCAGAACCAGACCCAGACCCAGACCCAGACTCAGACTCAGACCCAGACCCAGACCCAGACCCAGACCCAGACCCAGACTCAGACCCAGACCCAGACCCAGACCCAGACCCAGACCCAGACCCAGACTCAGACTCAGACTCAGACCAGACCCAGACCCAGACCCAGACCCAGACCCAGACTCAGACCCAGACCCAGACCCAGACCCAGACTCAGACTCAGACTCAGACTCAGACCCAGACCCAGACCCAGACTCAGACTCAGACTCCAGACTCAGACTCAGACTCAGACCAGACCCAGACCCAGACCCAGACTCAGACTCAGACTCAGACTCAGACCCAGAGCGTCTGAGATCTGACCCCAGATCAGCCTCTGACAGGTCGTAGTGGACACAGTAGAAGGACGTTTCATCACACAGAAAAGATCAGAACAGGAGAATCTCTCAGGTCCCGTCTGACATGTTCTACAGACGTGTTTATTCTGCCCAGAACAGATTTAACATTTAACATCACAGAGACTTTTTAATGAGGTAAAGAAGTGACTTAAAAAAACCTTAGATAGTCCTGATTTATTGGTTTAGTCCTGGTTTAGTCCCATGAAGTGACTGAAGACGAGTTACACATTATTCCCTCCTCACTGTTCCTGAAGCCACAGCTGTGACCCTCAGCAGATTCAACTCCAGATGTTCCAGATGTGACTGTGTGTTTGTCTCCAGGGACCAGATCTGCAGATGCTCCTGAACCTGAACCAGAAACCACACGACACCAGGACGAGACACCGGAGACACAGAGTCCAGACCCGGACCTGGACCTGGACCCGGGACCATCACATGACCCGGACCTGGACCCGGGACCATCACATGACCCGGACCTGGACCCGGGACCATCACATGACCTGGACCTGGACCCGGGACCATCACATGACCCTCACACTCATGAAGATCCAGGTGAGTTTTGTTGATCTGATGAATTTGTGTCAATCAAACTCATTTGAACTTGATTTTCATTATTTCGCTCACGAGAAACAGTTTCTCTTCTTTCTTCTCGGTGGACGAATCGAAGGGGCCAAAACTTTTAACCCTAAACATCAGATTTTTCATTATGTGACGACAAAAATCTTTCCAAAATGTCAAACTGTGAACTTTGTCTGACGATTCTTTTAATCTCACATTTTGTAAAACTGTGGGAGTTTGTTTGTTGTTTTGTTTGTGTTTCTCTCTCTCCTCCGACACAAACTTTAAAGAATTTGATGTGTTAAGTTTTTAAATATCCTGGTCTGTTGGTGAAAAGAAGCTGCTCTCTGATTGGCTGCAGTGACACTGAAGGCTGAGCTCTGATTGGTCGAAGTTTAATTTTGTTTTTTGTGTTTTTGTCTCAGAATCAGAGAACGACGTGGAGGCTGATATACAAGGTCAGTCCTGGTTTAGTCCTGGTTCAGTCCTGGTTTAGTCCTGGTTTAGTCCTGGTTTAGTCCTGGTTTAGTCCTGGTTTAGTCCTGGTTTAGTCCTGGTTCAGTCCTGGTTTAGTTCTGGTTTAGTCCTGGTTTAGTCCTGGTTTAGTTCTGGTTTAGTTCCTGGTTTAGTCCTGGTTTAGTCCTGGTTTAGTCCTGGTTTAGTCCTGGTTTAGTTCTGGTTTAGTCCTGGTCTGGTTTAGTCCTGGTTTAGTCCTGGTTTAGTTCTGGTTTAGTTCTGGTTTAGTCCTGGTTTAGTCCTGGTTTAGTCCTGGTTTAGTCCTGGTTTAGTCCTGGTTTAGTCCTGGTTTAGTCCTGGTTTAGTTCTGGTTTAGTCCTGGTTTAGTCCTGGTTTAGTCCTGGTTTAGTTCTGGTTTAGTTCTGTTATAGTCCTGGTTCAGTCCTGGTTTAGTCCTGGTTTAGTTCTGGTCATTATTTGTTCTTTTTTCAGAGGCTGTTTCTCTCCCTGATCCTGACGACATTTTCATTCCTGGTAATTTTCTTTTTTCTGACTCTTTGTAAAATCCCAAATCTACAAACTCTGTGTGTTTTATGTACGTGTGTCTGTGTGTGTGTGTGTATGTGTGTATCTGTATGTGTGTATCTGTGTGTGTATGTGTATGTGTGTGTGTATCTGTGTGTGTATCTGTGTATGTGTGTATCTGTATGTGTGTATCTGTGTGTGTATGTGTATGTGTGTGTGTATCTGTATCTGTATGTGTATGTGTGTATCTGTGTGTGTATGTGTGTCTGTGTGTGTGTGTGTGTGTGTGTGTGTGTATCTGTGTCTGTGTGTGTGTATGTGTATGTGTATCTGTGTGTGTGTGTGTGTGTATGTGTGTGTGTGTATCTGTGTGTGTGTATGTGTATGTGTATCTGTGTGTGTGTGTGTGTGTGTATCTGTGTGTGTGTGTGTGTGTGTGTATGTGTCTGTGTGTGTGTGTGTGTATCTGTGTGTGTGTGTATGTGTCTGTGTGTGTGTGTGTATCTGTGTGTGTGTGTGTGTATCTGTGTGTGTGTGTATCTGTGTTGTGTGTGTGTATGTGTGTATCTGTGTGTGTGTGTATGTGTGTGTATCTGTGTGTGTGTATGTGTGTGTGTGTGTGTATGTGTGTGTGTGTGTGTGTGTGTGTGTGTGTGTGTGTATTGTGTGTGTCTGTGTGTGTGTGTATCTGTGTGTGTGTGTGTGTGTATCGTGTCTGTGTGTGTGTGTGTGTGTGTGTATCTGTGTGTGTGTGTGTGTGTGTGTGTGTGTGTATGTGTGTGTGTGTGTGTATCTGTGTGTGTGTGTTGTGTGTGTGTGTATCTGTGTGTGTGTGTGTGTATCTGTGTGTGTGTGTGTGTGTGTGTATCTGTGTCTGTGTGTGTATCTGTGTGTGTGTTGTGTGTGTGTGTGTGTGTGTGTCTGTGTGTGTGTGTGTGTGTGTGTATCTGTGTGTGTGTGTGTGTGTGTGTGTATCTGTGTGTGTGTGTGTGTGTGTGTTTTATTCTGTGTTTTTCTGTGTTTCAGACGATCATCGTGGGGACAGTATATTTTCTCACAGTCAGTAAAACTTAAAAACATATTGGAGTTGGATTTAAATTATTATTATTATTATTATTATTATTATATATTATTATTATTATTTAAATTATTAAAGGTTCTTGAAGTCGTGTTTCTGATGTTTCTGCTCACGAACGGAGCTGGACTCAGGTTTGATTCAGTCACACAGAAAAACTTGTGTGAAATGTTCAGGTTTGTGAGTTAAACATGTGAAAGAAACAAAACACGACTCCAGGAAACAACAGCAGAACACGAATCAGAAAATGTCGTAACCTGGACTCTTTAACCTAAAATGGTTTTGTTTTTTTAGTGTCGGAGGAGAAACTTGTTCCCATCGATACGACTGGAGGTCAGTGTCACTTTCACTTTGTCAGGTTTCATTTGTTTGTTTCAGTGTCTCCAAACGTTTTCTTCTGGTGAGTTCGTTTTACAAAGAGAAAATGACAAAAATCTGTTCAGTTTAACAGACACAAAGTCACAAGGAAAAACCTTTAGACTGAGAACATTTCCTGTAAAACATAAATGATTCTCCTTTTGTGAGAGAACAGAGTCGGTTATTTACACTTGTAGTTTCAATTAGAGTCGTTCAGGACAATATGTTTCAGACTATAAGACACATTTATAATTAATAATAATAATAATAATAATAATAATAATAATAATCCAGTGTCTTATGAGTTCATTCTGGTTTTGTTTCTGACCTCAGACTGATTTTCTGTGGCGTCAAAAATCTGTCTGAATGTTTTAGTTTGACTTTGGTAAAAGTACGAAGCCGTCGTGTGGTGGATTATCAGAGTCACAGAGACTGAAGTCAGGAGGTTCACGGACTAAAACACTTTCACCAAGACACGAAGGCGACGCCGGCGAGTTCTGACTCGATCAATATTCATCAAATATCCATAAAAATGTTCAGAATAACTATTTACACAAAGGTACATGTATAAATATATATTTGTACATTTGTGTGATTTTGTTCAGTTTTATTGTCATTATCAGAGTGAATTTCATAAATCAGACTTTTGCTTTGACAGTTTATAAATATGAGTAATAATCAAAATCACAGTAAAATAATAAATAAATAAATACATGTAATTTCACTGTAAATAAAAATATTATTTGTTTATCCTCCTCATTTCTCTTCTGTGTTCAGACGATTCACCAGCGTCACTTTAAACACACTTCACACTTCACACTTCACACTTCACACTGAGACCAGAGTTTGACCTTCACAGTAAAGCCAACAACAACTAGCATGGTAACACACACTTCCTGATTGTCAGACAGTAAAACACGTCACAGACGCAGGAACAGTGAACTTCGTCTGACCTCAAGAGTGATTATATAATAAATGTATGTGTGTATTTATGTATGTTTGTGTAGTGGAGCAGGACATGTTCTGTTTAAACACTCGGGGGAAATATTTAACACTTTACATTTTCATCTTTCAGCTTTAGTGGGATTAAATGAAGTTGTTCAGCTCTTGTAATAAACTCTGTGTTGATATTTTCAGTTCTGGTGAAGGATCCTGAGCCGCAGGAAACTGTGGGTGAGTCTGAACTGAATCACACAGAAAAAAATCACTTTGTTTTTATTTTACTGTTTACTGACAACAAATATTTGTACTGTAATAAAAATTTGAATTGTGAATATTTTGTGTTTTGTTCCAGTGGAGTCTGGACAAGATCTGACCAGCTCCAAAATCTCACAGGAACCAGGTGAGAAAAACAAGAATCAAACAAACAACAATAATAAAACATGTCATAAAAATGACACCTGACATGTTAAATCTGACTGTACTTAAAAACCTTCTCTGTGAAGATGTTTTTTGGTTTAAAAGTTTCATACTGTGGCTTTAAGCAGCACTAAACACAAATTATTTCTAAAAAACAATATATTCATTAAGAATCAAGTCTTTTGTTTGATTTATTTTATGTTTTTAAAGCGACACTTTTAAAAGAGTAATTATTATAAACGGTGCATTTGTCTCGGAGTTTGTGTTTCGATCAGATTTAACACAAACTGGAGCAGCTCAAATAAATATTGTTAGATTTTTATTATAACAGAAGAAGTTTCTGGGCCGAGTCACAAACAGAAATGATCAGGGTCAAGATTTGTCATGAAATATTGAAAAGGGAAAAGCACAAAGTTCAGTGAAATGTACTGAAAAAAAAAACTGTCTTCACTGTGGAGGAAGAGCTCAGACGAGTCAGAGAAACGTCTGAAGGAAACGAGTGTGAAGAAGAAGAAGAAGAAGAAGAATGATGAGATTATCTGTGGTTTTTCAGAAGCAACAAACGAGCGTGAGCCCAAAACAGAACCAGAACCAGAATCTCAGAGTGAGAAAACAGAACCAGGCCAGACTGAAGAGACGACGACCCCGACGACCCCCACGACCCCCACGACCTCCACGACCTCCACGACCCCGACGACCCCGACGACCGACGGTGAGAAACATTCTGATGTTTGTAAAATCTGCTCATCCTGAAGTTTAAATTTTTACAAACACAAACACTGAGATGATTCCTGAAACATTTGAACAGAACTGGAAAAAATAAACATCAAGACTTTAGTTTTCTTAATAAATCAATTCATTTATCCGTGACTGTTCTTTGATAAAACATAAAACACACACACACACACACACAACACACACACACAACACACACTCTCTCTACTCCCTTCATTTGTACTTTGTACTTCAGACTTGTGGACGGTTTAATGATTGAATCACTGAGTCGTGTTGTCTCTGATCTGAAAAGAAGTAGAGCTTTTTATTTATTTATTTATTCTTTCTTTTATTCATTTATTTATTAAATTTTTTTCTTTATTTTTTATTTATTTATTTATTTACTTTTATTTTTATTTTTATTTTTATTTATTTACTTTATTTTTTTCTTTTCTTTTTATTTATTTTTTTATTTTTTTATTTATTTTATTTGTATTTATTTTTTTTATTTTGTATTTATTTACTTTATTTTTCTTTTTTTTTTAAATTTTATTTAAATTTTCGATCGATTAAAAACTGCAGCTCGGTGGATTTCTGTAACGCAAATAATTTAAGAGCAGAAAACAGGACAAACTGCGCCCTCTGCTGGACACTCCCCACAATGTCACACACAACTTTAATATTCAGAATTTTATCTTTTTATAATTCAGCTTTTTATTTTTTATTTTATTTTTATTTATTTATTTATTATTATTTTTTTTCTTTACTTTTTATTTTATTGTTTATTTTTTTATTTTATAATTTTTATTTTTTATTTATTTAATTTTATTCATTATTTTTTATTTAATTTTTATTAATTTATTTCACAAATAATTTAAGAGCAGAATAGGGGACAAACTGCGCCCTCTGCTGGACACTCCACACAACGTCACACACAACTTTAATATTCATATATTAATATTTTATCTTTTTATATTTCAACTTTTTATTAAAATTCTAAAAGCTGAAACTTTCTTAAAACTAAAATGTGTGTGGAAATATTTCTTTCCATTTGAAATCATTAGTTTTTATTTATGTGATATTTTAATTTACTCCATGTTTTTTTTTAAAGTAAATAAAATATTTTCTTGTTTTTGTTTTCACAGAGAAGCTTGAAGAAAAAGACAAAGGTGAAGACCAGACGAAAGTTCACGTCAAATTAAAACGAATTTGATGAAAAGTGAAACGTTTTTCTCTTCGTTTCGTTCTCAGTGAAGAAGAAAAAAACCAAAACTGTTGAATAAATTTGACAAAAGCATCAAAACCGAAATCGACGCCGCAGAAAAACTCCGGAAAAAGGTATGAAGACTTGTGAGGACTCCAGGTTTTCACTCGTCTCCACGGAGATGTGACCGAGTCTGGAGAAGATCTGGTGGAACGAGCTGGATGTTCTGGGATGTTCTTGGATGTTCTTGGATGTTCTTGAATGTTCTTGAATGTTCTTGGATGTTCTCGTACGTTCTCATGTGGAGTTTGAGTTTGAAATGTCCTGTTTGTGTTTGAGGGTAAAGTGGAGGAGGCTCTTCAGGCGTTTGAAGCTCTGGTCCAGAAATATCCACAAAGTCCCAGAGCGAGATACGGAAAAGCCCAGGTGATGTTTCCACTACACTTCTACTCCTCTACTCCTCTTCATCTGCTCTTCTGGTTCTCCTCCTCTGGTTCTTGTCCTCCTGTTCTCCTCCTGTTCTCCTCCTCTGGTTCTCCTCCTGTTCTCCTCCTGTTCTCCTTCTGTTCTACTCCTCTGGTCCTCCTCCTGTTCTCCTCCTGTTCTCCTTCTGTTCTACTCCTCTGGTCCTCCTCTCTTCCTCTGGTTCTCCTTCTAACCTGTAGTTCTCCTCTGGTTCTTCTGCTCTGATTCTCTTCTGGTTCTCCTCCTGCTCATGCGTGGTTCTTCTCCTGTGGTTCTCCTGTGGTTCTCCTGACCTGTGGTTCTCCTACTGACCCATGGTTCTCGTGGTTCTCCTCGTGGATCTTGTGGTTCTCCTGTGGTTCTCCTCCTTACCTGTGGTTCTCCTGTGGTTCTGCTGTGGTTCTCCTCCTGATGTGTGGTTCTCCTCGTGGTTCTCGTGGTTCTCGTGGTTCTCCTCGTGGTTCTCGTGGTTCTCGTGGTTCTCGTGCTCTTCAGTCGGAGGACGATGTTGCGGAGAAGCGTCGCAGTAACGAGATGTTGCAGAGGGCCATCAACTCGTACAGGGAGGCGTCTGAACTTCCTGATGTTCCTCCTGATCTCCTGAAGGCGGCGCTGAGGAGACGAGCCGAGAGACAACAGTTTTTAGGTGAGTCCTCCCTCTCCCCAGACGCCTCCTCCTCTCAGGTGTCTCGGGTCCAGGACTTGAGTGTTTGTTTGTGTCTCCAGGTCGGACTCGAGGGTCTCTGCTCACTCTGGAGCGACTGGTCCAGATGTTTCCTCAAGATTATTCCCTCAAAAACGAACTGGGCGTCTCCCACCTCCTGCTGGGAGACAACAAGGGGGCGAAGGCCGTTTACGAACAGGTCGGACCAGGACCGGAGACCGGGACCAGGACTGAGACTGGACCAGGACCGGAGACCGAGACCGGGACCAGGACTGAGACTGGACCAGGACCGGAGACTGGACCAGGACCCAGGACCCAGGACCCAGGACTGGGACTGGACCAGGACCAGGACCACAGGACTGGACAGAACATGGACCAGGTCTAAACCAGGACTAAACCAGGTCTGATCTGAGTGTTTTTGTTCAGGTTTTGTCTGTTGCTCCTGACGATGGTTTTGCCAAAGTTCATTACGGCTTCATCCTGAAATCAGAAAACCTGATCGCAGAAAGTATCTCCTACCTCAGGGTGAGACTCCTCCCTCTCCCCAGACTCCTCCCACTCCCCAGACTCCTCCCACTCCCCAGACTCCTCCCACTCCCCAGACTCCTCCCACTCCCAGACTCCTCCCACTCCCCCAGACTCCCTCCCAGACCCTCCTCCCTCCCACTCCCCAGACTCCTCCCACTCCCCAGACTCCTCCCACTCCAGACTCCTCCCTCTCCCCAGACTCCTCCCTCTCCCCAGACTCCTCCCACTCCCCAGACTCCTCCCACTCCCCAGACTCCTCCCACTCCCCAGACTCCTCTCCCCAGACTCCTCCACTCCCCAGACTCCTCCCTCCCCAGACTCCTCCACTCCCCAGACTCCTCCCTCTCTCCACTCCCCAGACTCCTCCCACTCCCCAGACTCCTCCCTCTCCCCAGACTCCTCCCTCTCCCCAGACTCCTCCCTCTCTCCTCTTCTTCTCTTGGGGAAACTACTGTATTTCTTGGATTATAAAACACACTTAAAATCCTTTAATTTTCTCAAACATCAGTGAGTCTTTATTATTCTTTTTATTTATTCTGGTCGTGTTTACTGATCTTGACCTGGTTTTATGTGGAACACGGTGCTCAAAAATCTGTCTTAATGTTTTAGTACGACTTTGGTAACTGCGACTCTGCACCGTGAATATAAAACAAAATATACCTCAGTACAGACTGTACGTCACAGAACATGAGCCACGATCCAGAACCTTCAGCACATGTTCTGATGGAGCAGGTACTTTACATTAGAAAGAACAAGAACATAAGAAGTGTTTAATTTCATCTTCTTGAGTCAGGACACTAGGGGGCAGCGTTTTAAGGAGTAAATATAAAAGTTGTGTTTGTAGGAGCAGCAGGTTCATGTTCCTCATCTTCTCAGGAGCTTCAGCTGCTCTGTCCTCACGTTTAAAGGAGGAGATGGAGCTGCTCTTTAAAACAGGCACCGACAGGGTTTATTCTTCTCCTGAACCTGGTCTGAACCTGGTCTGAACCTGGTCTGATCCTGGTCTGATCCTGGTCCTGTGTGTTTTCAGGAGGGTCTAGAGTCTGGAGATCCGGGCACAGATGATGGGAGGTTCTATTTCCATCTGGGAGACGCTCTGCAGAGAGTGGGACTCAGAGAGGTGAGACTGAGGACTCACACTCCTGCACTGTTGTGTATGTGGATGTTATGTGCAGATGTGACACATGAGGGAGCGAGGGAATATTTAGTTCCAGTATTTCTGGTTCAATGTTGATGAATGTTGTAAAGAAAAAGAAATGTTCTGTTTTCATGTATAAACATCCAAACCGGCGACTTCTGGATCATTTCATTTCTGCTTCAGTATTTTTCACAGTTTAAAACTTGAGTAAAACTTAATTATTCAGACACGACTCTCAGTCAACGATAAAATCTCCTCATTAATGTTCAAACATGAAAAAAATCCACATTTATTTTGTGATTTATGAATAATGTCCATGGACTTGGGTTTGCCAACGTCTGTGACTTTTAAAATGTGGGTCCCCAGAAAAAAGTTTGTGAAACACTGATTCAGACTCTGTCCCTTTGAGAACTGACGCTGACCTTCATCACTCTTCTTCTTCTGCTTCTTCTTCTTCTTCTTGGTTGAATCGTGCAGGAGGCTCATCGTTGGTACGAGCGCGGCCACCAGAGGGGGCACTTCTCCTCCGTGTGGCAGAGGTCTCTGTACAACGTGGACGGACTGAAGGCCCAGCCCTGGTGGACCCCGAGAGAGACCGGATACACCGACCTGGTCAAAGTGAGGACCTGACACACACGAGGAGGGACCTGACACACACGACCTGACACACGGGAGGGACCTGACACACACACGACACACACGGAGGGACCTGACACACACGAGGGAGGGAGGGACCTGACACACACGAGGAGGGACCTGACACACACGGGAGGGACCTGACACACACGAGGAGGGACCTGACACACACGAGGAGGCACCTGACACACACAGGACACACGGGAGGGACCTGACACACACGAGGGAGGGACCTGACACACACGAGGAGGGACCTGACACACGAGGACACACTGACACACACGAGGGAGGCACACACTGACACACACACACACACGGAGGGACCTGACACACACGACCTGACACACAGGGAGGGTGACACTGACACACACGAGGAGGGACCTGACACACATGACACACACGAGGAGGGACCTGACACACACACCTGACACACACGGGAGGGGACCTGACACACACACGAGGGAGGGACCTGACACACACGGGAGGAGGACCTGACACACACGAGGAGGGACCTGACACACACGAGGAGGGACCTGACACACACGGGGAGGGTCCTGACACACACGGGGAGGGTCCTGACACACGGGGAGGGACCTGACACACACGGGAGGGTCCTGACACACACGAGGAGGGACCTGACACACGGGGAGGGTCCTGACACACGGGGAGGGACCTGACACACACGGGGAGGGTCCTGACACACGGGGAGGGTCCTGACACACGGGGAGGGTCCTGACACACGGGGACATGTGTAAGTGTCTTGTGTGTTCCTGGTGTCAGACTCTGGAGAGGAACTGGAGAAGCGTCCGTGACGAGGCTCTGGCTGTGATGGATCAAAAGTCTGGACTGTTTCTGCCTGAAGAAGAAAACCTGAGAGAGACTGGAGAGTGGGGCCAGTACACACTGTGGCAACAAGGTACGACTGGACCCGGACTGGACCGGGACTGGACCGGGACTGGACCGGACTGGACCGGGACTGGACCGGGACTGGACCGGGACTGGACCTGGACTGGACCCGGACTGGACCCGGACTGGACCCGGACTGGACCCGGACTGGACCGGGACTGGACCCGGACTGGACCCGGACTGGACCGGGACTGGACCGGGACTGGACCGGGACTGGACCCGGACTGGACCGGGACTGGACCGGGACTGGACCGGGACTGGACCTGGACCGGACCGGGACTGGACTGGGACTGGACCCGGACTGGACCCGGACTGGACCGGGACTGGACCGGGACTGAGTCTGAGGTCTTGTTGGTGTGTGTTCAGTACTTTGTGTGTTTCAGGGCGTAAGTCCGGCGCCGCGTGTCAGAACGTCCCAAAGACTTGTGCTCTGATGGAACGGTTTCCTGAGGCCACAGGCTGCAAGAGAGGACAGGTCAGAACAACCAGGCCCCGGTCACACTAGTGTGTATGTGAGTGGTGTTGTTGTGTGTACAGGGTTCGTTCATATTAATCTGATGTTAAACGTCTCCAGAGTCTGAACGATCTGGAGCCTCCAGCTCCACGAGTTCATGTTGGTCCAGAAGTGTCGGGGACTCCTGAAAACTCTGATCCTCTGATGTAGGAGCTGGAGTCTCGTCCTGATTGGACACGACACTGTGACTCGCTCCTTCTGATTCTCTGGGTTTGTGACGTCGTCATGACAGTTTAAAAGCAGAAAACAGTTGAAACAAACCAGAGACAAACAGAAACAGCAGATAAAACTACTCGCTCGTAGAAAAGTGTTTTCATGTTTGACATTTTCCTCGGCTCAAAATCAGCTGCTGCAGTTTCACACACGCTGCTCCACGTCCTCGTTTTTACCTCCGTCCTCCTCGTGTGTCGAGTGTTTCAGGAGGTTTGTTTTTGTCTGGAGGGAAGGATTTGACACAGAAACATCGAGTCTGTTTGAGTGTAAATGTGACCAACAGAACCACAGCGACACCAGGTCACACTGATGTTCATGTCCTCATTTACACTGAATTATTTACTTATTCCACAAATCTAAAT